AAAGCTGTCGGCAGGGCTGCGGTCCCGCACGTTTGAAACAAGTTCCGAGGAACCTGGAAAAAGAGACTGAAAATACTCTTGCCTAACACTTTCACTGCTCCGTCTTAAAAATCAGAGACTTGACTTTTATGTATAATCTGTGAAGAGAGACGCAGGAGTTCTTCAGTAGAAGATAAACTTGTTTCAGTTTCTGTCTTGAATCAGTTGTGTTATACTAAGTGTAAAAGGATTAAAGTATTATCCTTTTCTGTCAATTAGCAAGAAATCTAAACCAAAAATAAACAAACAAAAAACTATAAAGCAGTCTACAAGCACAAAATTAGCATTGCTCCCACCAAACACATTAAGCCCAGAATCCTGAAACATTGCCACAGTGTATTTATCGCAACATCACATGTTGGGACATTTAGAGTCAAACCTCTTAATTTCATATCTCATACCAAAATACTTTGTATGGGAATATAAAAGAGACAAATCCCCTCCATAAAGATGTGTTTCTAGCCATGAGGTGGAGGTGTACTAAAATAATTGCTCAACAAACTAAGAAAAATCTGGCACCCGTTCAGATTGGCACCTGTTCAAATCTCTAATAGGTAAAATAGAAGCACAGTCTCCCCATGTATCTTCCTGTTTTCTGTTCCTTGATTATTTGTTAAAGCCTGAAAGTTACGGTAGTATATGACCCAAAATAAGCACCTTAGAAATCTATCTTAATTCTGCAGAGGGAAGTTTTCCTTTAAATAGGCGTATTACTTCCTTTGTCTCAGGATCCATTGAAAAATCTGCTTTGGCTTTCAAGAGGCTTGTCATTCAACTATGCCAAGAGAATAATCAATGTAAATTACTCCTTTTGTAAATAAAGAACAATCAGGTTACCATAGATGCCTTGTCTGAAAAGTTCAATAAATAGTGTATCCCTCCGAATTTAGTAACTGCTTACTGTAGTAACCTTTGCTCTCGGCCACCTCCTGAAAAAGTTATTTAAAATTTAAATTGGTTTTAAGCTTCCTGTTTTTGTAATCTTTGGCTTCCCATTCTCTTTTTTTTTTTTAGGAAAGATGAAAGTACAAAATATGTCCATAGGTGTTATTTTAGAAGCGTGAAAAATACACCCCTACATAGTAGGATTATGGCGAAACAAATTACAAAAATTGTAACTGGCCTCACTTTTCAGATTTTTATACTGCATGGATAAAAACTTGCATGTATGGAAAGGAAGGCTGTCCTTTCACAACCAAAAGACTACTGTTTCCTGCTCACCACAGAGCATTTTTATAATCAGTAATTCAGCAGATTTCTCAGACATTCACCTACTGCACTTTGGTTGTTTTGTCATTCTGGACATTTAGTGTCATTAAAACTAATAATTGGAGGGCGGGGGGGGGAAAGGCACCAATATTGAACTTCTGTTTTTCTGTTTCTAAGTGTTTGTTTATTTGCTACAGGCTATTACATGATATGTAGATACGCTCTGAAAATAATATGCAAAGAACTGCAAAATCATAATTCTGTAGTGGCTATTCTTTATGGAAAAAAAAAAAAAAAAGGATTCATTCTACATCTTTTGCTGAAATCTGCACCTTCATTGCAGATATGAGGATTTAAGAAATAGATATGCAGAAGTCAATGATATTTTACATGCTTAAGATGCATAGACCAATTCAATTTTTGTTTCCATTGCTACACAAAGAAAATTAATGCATATATAACCCTGATCTCTGGAAATATGTTTATATTTAATCTAAAAAGATGGCAGTAATAAGAATAAAGGATGTATTCAGTCATATTAAAATGGAAACAGCCATTAGATGTTCCTCCAGTTAAGCAGTTGCATGTAAAAGGAAATCTATTCTTTATGTATCTAAACTGCCAAATTATTTTTAAATCTGCATCTGGAATTCTCTTTTAAAAGTATTCACATATTCAGTGTATTTGGAAGTAAATCATAAAGTATAACTGCACTTTTGTTTTATCCTTGGGCTTGCAAAGTGATCAGTATTACAAAACAAATGAAATTATGTCACTTACTATTAAAGACATTCAGCTCAGAGATGGAGCACAATACAGCTAAATAACATTCTAGCATTTAAAACAAGTAAGGCTAGATTGTCGTGAGTGAGTGCCCAGCTTTTTACTTCTGCAGCTCTCTGAAAACCCTTCTAGGCTCAGAAACTTCCGCTGCTTTTCAATGGAACTGATGATGAATTTGAAAACTTAGCCAACTTCATGACTGCATTGACTCAGAAACAAATAAAATAACATAGTTACTGGGTGATAAGGTGGACTTAAACAAAACCTGTCCATACTTGAATTCATTGAAAACTTTTTGATTTGTTACACTACTTTGATTTGATGTCCCTTGAAGAGCTTGTAACTTTTGTTGCTGTTGCATTATGCTGAAGGTACAAACACAAGTTCCAGGGTTCACCACTTGCTCTTATAAGGAGAAATCTTAGTCTGAAAAAGCACTTCAGGTTGTTAATATTTTAACTCATGGTACTCAAACTGTGATCTATGAAGACTTGGTTGGCCAACAGTGCAGAGCAAGTGTTTCCTTGGCTTGACTAAGGAAAGCTGAGCATACATTAATGGCACATAAAACAAACTTTTGAGAACTTGAGGAATATCATGTGGGCAACAGCTAACAGTGACCGAAGTAAAAAAAAAAAAAAAAAAATTAAAGTAGGATATGGCATACACTTTTAAACTTAAAACCACTACTACAAATATTTCTAAAAACACAACTCTAGTAAAGCAATTGAACAGTGCTGAGTGACCAGAACAGGATCCCAGTTGTCTCTGCCTCAATCAATTGCCTAAAAAATGGACAGTTCTGGACTAAAGCTCCAACATGGAGGAAAATATTCTAAAGCAAGGAAGCTTTACATATCCAACTACTCAAACTAATAAAATTACTCCAGGAAATCTTGTATAGATCTGTCTGTGACAGAGCTAATTTTCTTCCTAGTAGCTGGCATGGTGCTGTGTTTTGGATTTAGGATGAGAATAGTGGTGATAACACACGGATGGTTTAGCTCTCACCGAGCAGTGCTCAAACAGCCTTTCCAGCTCCTTGTGCTGTCCTGCCAGTGAGGGGGCTGGGCGTGCAGCAGGAGCTGGGAGGGGACACAGCCAGGACAGCTGGCCCAAGGGATATCCCAAAACATGTGGCATCATGAGGAACAATAAAACTGAGGGGGGATGGCTGGGCGTGGGGGTGGCTGCTGCTCAGGAACAGGCTGGGCATTGTTCAGCAGGGGGTGAGCAGTTGCATTGTGCATCACTTGCTTTCTATATTCTTTTATCATTATTATTAGCCCTTGGTTTTCTGTCCTGTTAAACTGTCTTTATCTCAAGTAATGAGTTTTTCCCTTTTTTTCCAATTCTCTCCCCCATCCCACTGGTGTGGGGTGAGCAAGGTTGAGCAAGCAGCCGTGTGGTGCTTAGCTGCCTACTGGGTTAAACCACAACAAGATCCTAACAAGAAAAGACTTCAGAAAATAACAATTAGAATTCTCCTCTTCCGGTCAGCATTGAACACCCACACAGGCATTCTTATTTTATGGAACAAATTTTGAGGATTTTGGTGCAGCAAGCACATTTAAGTCTATGTGAACAGGCAATCTACAAATTTGTGAATACTTTTAAGTGCCCATGCTGTTATTTTTCTGTAACATTACTGTCCCCAACTTTTTAAGTAAATTTGTACTAAGTACCTTACAAAAAAAAAAAAATCTACAAAAATAAAATTGGAATTACTTCAATGTATGCTTAAGAACAAATAAAACCTCTTACTCAACTAATTAGTCTTAGAAAAGGTTTGGCTACCTTGCTGCTATGCAACTTCACACCAGAGTTTCATCATCATCTCACTTTTCCCCTTTCTTTTATATTTTTATTTTTATTTTTATTTTTTATTTTTAATCGGTTAACCACAAGCCATACTTGTAAAAGAAGGCTCTCCTACAATAACAGGAGTCAGAATATCAAAGTGGGACTGAAAAGTTGTACTACCACTGATAGTTTGTAAAATTTAAGTATGCTACAAAGACTTGGTTTAATGTTGCAGTTTACCATTCACAGGATCAAGCTCAGCTCTATTATGTTTTTTTAAGGATATTCAAGTAAAAATTATAACCTTTTCCAAAGACTGCATTGAATAAATAGCTGAATTCCCAGAGAAGGCATCATATGGCAGCATAATTCTGCAAAAGACATGAAGTGGTTATTTTTCTCAGAACATGAAGCAGCTACTGATGATTACTGCATTTGTGTAAAATTTTATAGCTGAAGTTCCACTGGTATTAACAATTTGTTCGCTATACATAGACAAGTTCTTCACACTGGCTTTTCCGTAGCGTTTCCCTCTAATGACTGGTGGGTCTTTCTGCTGGTCAGGTTTTAATACTGTAAGTTCCAGCTCTGACATCTCCTGGTACTCTAGCCTACAAAACTATATTTCATCAAAAACTCTGCTTGCGTGCTAAATGTAAAGATTTTAAGTTGCCTGAACATAATCCACAAGACAATTTTTAAGTGAAAACTGTCTTAAGATAGTGTTTGTTTATTTTTCCCCCTTTCAGATACAGCTTGATGATGCAACTTAAGTTTTCTTATGTTTGGAAAGGTGCTTGTCTCTTCTCCTTGGTCACCAGTAGCAGGATGCACAGGAATAGCACAAAGTTTTATCAGGGAAGGGTCAGATTGGACATGAGGAAAAAATGTCTTTACCATGAGGGTGGTCAAACACTGGACCACCTAGAGAGGTGGTTGATGCCCCATGACTGTCATTGTTCAAGATACATTTGGACAACACCCTCAGTAAGATGATTTAGCTTTTGTTTAGTCCTGAAGGCACTCAGACTATATGATCTTGGAATATCTTCTCCTACTGAAGTATTCTACATTCTGTTCATAGAAATGCATAATCAGTATTACATTTTAAAATCTTCAGCTCCTGGACTTGGAGGCGTACCGTGTAATAAGTGCACACAGAAAAGGAAAATAAATACAATTTATTAAAAACTTAGCTTTTTATAGCATAAGCAAAAATATCCTATTGAAATTAGATCCACTTTCTAATGGGCTTTATAATGACATATTTAATTATTCACAGCGTTTAAGGGTATGTTCTAATTCAAGCAGATAAAAGAACAAGTGTTAAAATGTCAGAGTATATATTTTAGAGTCCTAAAACAATTTATTTTTTTCAAAGTACAAAGTGTTTTGCTGGTGTGAATAAACACATCTAGCATACCATTTATTTTTGTAGTCAAATTCAGGATATTTTTTTTTTTATCTAAAAGGCTGACTGTGTAGATATGCACAGCTTAGTCTGTGTCACTGTTTCCTTAACGATCCACCTTCTGTAAAATAAGGAAATGTGTAACAGGAAATGCCAACAACTCTTACCTTAATTACGTGGCTGAACACTATCACCACTCAACTAGTTCTAGCTTGCATAGCAATAGAATTGTCTAAGAAATCTTAATATTTGTTCTAAATGTTCTTTGGGTACTAAGAAGCCATCTTTCCAATGAAGGTTTGACTTCTTTTCTCCTGCAAGTAGCCAGACCAGTTCAAGTCTTTCTCTTTACATTTCCTCCTGTACCATGCAGTTCTCCCTCACTGTTTTTGTCATAGGTGACAAGCATAACTATAGTTAAAGAAACGTGTTGATTTGGACACATTGATATTGTACATGTATATAGTCAAATGAGCAGCAACAGGACAATACTATTTGACAACAGCAAGGGAGCAGAAGTCTGGTGTAGGAGAGAACTTTAGTTTCGCTCTCTATATATAAAGAAAAATCCTAGGCATATGCACTGACAGCTATTCTTTAGAATTTGCTGTCATCAAGCACAATAAAGTTCACTCCTGTTATAAATGAACTGAGCTACTCAATCAGGGATGAGTTCAATCGTTAAAATAATCTAATCAGACAAAAGTAAACCAACAAAGATGTAAATAGTGGACTTTATCATAAGCCATATAATGCCTTACTTTCCCCAATCATCTTTTAAGTTACTTATTACATCCCTGAAACTCTGGCTTCAATTCACTGCTTGCAGGTGCTGATTCAGACTGTGATGGCTCTGAATCTGCAATAAAAAAAGATAAAAGTACTTGTGATAACCAGAAGAATAAAAAGGTCAACTAACATTTAGTTTCTCTCAGTCACGTCAAAATGCATATAAATTCCAGTACTTTAATTTTTAACTAAGAATGACAAGCTACATGGAAAGTCTGCAGTATGATACAAACTGTAAACCACCACAAGTGAGTTATACATTCATATACGCAATGGGCTGTATCTCCTGTCTGATATGTCTTGGACTTATATTATGAAGCAGACAACAGACAAAGCTCCACCTCGAAAGGAAGCTGCAAGGTGCTCATGCTGTCAATTGCTTCCAATAAGCAGACAAAAGTACCCAAGTGCTATCTTCAGCACACACCTCAACGCACGAAGAGGGCGAAGTCAAACTGAATCAAGGTACAACATGTCTTTATGAAACCATGCTTCTGAAAGCATTAAGAACCCTCCTTTTATACTGAGACAAGAAACAGAATGACAAATAAGGGCAAAGCTGGTTTCACGTTATTTAGCAGTTTGTAAAAGAAAAGCCTCTTGAGAATATGAAGCATCTCTATATTAAAGTAAGCAGCGTATTGATTTTTCATCAGTCTTTATACAATATACCCATCATTTTATTCTATGTTTGTGATATAACCAAACCAGTATCATGGTTATTCTAAAAATCTTTAGTTTTCTTTATACCCCAAATGTCCCATTTGAGGCCCACTTCCATTATTTTTGAAACTAAAATACGTTGTTTGGGTTTTTTATTTTTCATTTTTATAAATTAGGGTTAGGGTTGGAAAACATTGGAGAAGACCTCCAAGATCATCAGGTCCAACCATCAGCCTAACACCACCAAGTCCACCGCTAAACCATGTCTCTATGTGCCATATCCACGTCTCAAACACCTCCAGGGATGTTTACTCAACCACCTCCCTGAGCAGCCTCTTCCCATGCCTAACCACCCTTTCCCTAAATAAATCCTTTCAGATATACAATCTAAACATTCCCCTGGCACAACTTGAGACCATTTTCTCAAGTCCTATCACTTTGCATCTGAGAAAAGAAACCGACACCCACCCTGCTACAACCTTTCAGGTAGATCGATGAGGTCTCCCTGCAGCCTCTTCTCCACACTGATCAACCTCAGTTCCCTCAGCCACTCCTCATTAACACTGTTGTCTATTCCCTTCACCAGTTTTGCTGCTCTTCTCTGAATGCATTCCAGTAACTCAATATTTCTTCTAGTGAGGAGCCCAAAACTGAACACAATATTTGAAGTGCAATTTTTTGTATAAAATATATAAATTCATATAATCTTCATATATTTACATATGAAGAAAAAATATGGTAGATATATTGTTTTTAACGTTAATGGAAGACCAAAAAAATCAATTCAGGAGGTGCTGATTTGTCATAGAAATTAATTTTACTAGCCATTAAACCTTCCACACATTGATCTATCAAGTTCAAGAAAGTCATGTCAATCCACAGCATATAGACAAGCATTCACTTCTAATCCAATAAAACTGTTGCAAAACCAAGATTTTTAATCATGTGGACATATTTATTATTTTTTAAGAAAAGGTTATCTGTTTCATATACATGAGTATTGATGACAACTATAAGTTCTCAGAAAAAATAGCAGGAGACAAGGACTATTTGAAAACAAATAGCAACTATTTTACAGTCTGCTTAACTTTAAGGAGGAGGATAACTGTGTCTCCTCAGTATTTTACAAAAATACGTCATACAGAAGCCCTTAGATCAGAACAGAACATACTTCTACAACTGCGAAGATGGAAAAGAAAGCCATGAAAGCCCCTCCCTTTGCTGACTACAAGCAGGAGGGCACTTTCCCTAAACTGTTTGCAGGGTGCTGTAAGCCAAGCACGGGAACTCAGTAAGTCTCAGCATACTTAAAGAGAAAGAATCAAATTATTCAGGCCACCCATAATTCAAATCCAACTAATATTAAAAGATTTAAAAGAAACAGCTTGCAATAATTTTACCTGTGGACTGCTCACTGTTTTCTGAAGTTTCTTGAATCTTTTTTTTCCATGCAGTATGTTGTTGATACCAGTCAGTCCCGTAACCATTGCTAATTAATTTGCTAAAGTTTACCGCTTCGCTTTTTCTCTGAGCAGGCCTGTAAATCAAAACATGTTAAATAATAGCATAAGTAAACCAAAATTGGGATTAAGTGGAAAGAATGTATTTTGCACAGAAAAAGTAATAGCCTTACATAATATAACTTATTTGTAAGTAACAGTAAATATACATGCTATATGTCATCATCTTAGGAAAAAAAACAAAGCACGCAGCTGGGACTGATTCAGTAAATATACATGTAAGTTTTAAATGACAAGAACCATTCATGTTATTGGAACTTCACATGTATAATACTGACATAATTCTGGCCTGCTGACCAGAAAAAGTTAGTGAGAAAGAAAAATATAAGCAAGAACGTGTAAGCTGAAAAGGCTGATGACATACATTCTACGTTGTTTAGGTTTTTATCTCAAAATTTGCTCATAAGTATACATTTCATTAGACATTTCAATCACACATTTTGCATCATTAATGTACTTCTAAAACAGACTATTTTCTGATGTTTATCTCTAATCTATTTTTAACACAAAGTACTTTGGAGCAATTCAGCTGTGCACACAGATTAGTGTTGTCATCGCTCGCTTAGAAGACTAATTATCTTCCAGGTGTTGATAACAGTATGTCTGCTGGGCCTGACCTTCCATTAGGCTACAGCCGATGTGATTTCTGAACATGGTAGTCCTACCTATGCCTCTGTAATCTACGCTCACAGAATTAACAATGCACACTAATAGTTTGCATCTGTTCACTGGTATTAACAACAGATAATTTAGAATGCAGTAAAAGAGTACTTACTACACGACGATATTTTACCACACAGCTGTATGCCTACCTTCCCTAAATAAAAGTTTTGTATATAACTAAAATAATAGCTTTACTATATTAATTAAATTCCTATTTAACGTATGTCACCCCTATAGATGGTGGCAGTAAGTAAGTTTAGTAGCAGTAAGGATCCAGAAAGGCCGTGCACAAATTCTCTAATCTCTGCAAGTTCCCAAGCAGTAATATTACTTGCATGCACAAAGGCTCGCAGGTTTAGGAGTTTAATGAATTTCATAAACATGTTACTTACATAGGTGGAAAAGAAAGCCTATTTTTCCCACTGAATTCCTTGTTCATAGAAATATTTGGCGTTCTGGTTGGACACGTAGTGTTTATAGCTGGGAGCTTTACCTGAATGAGAGAGATCTTAACTTAATAAAAACAATTATAAAAATAACTAAGTGGTGTCAGAAGTGATAGTTATCTTAAAGGCCCCAAAAAATCATCAAATTGTACTATCGTAGGAATATTATTTCAAAAAGTAAGAGCAGAGGAGTATAGAGAAATAGAAAAAGATTTAAAAGCACCTTAGTTATACCAGATAAGATCAGCTGTTTGTTCATTATGTCAGAAACATGCTCATCTATGAGCTTTTCCCTCACAGTACATTTCTACCAAAAGTTAGGCTTCAAATTCAAACTTACCAATTGCAACTTCTCATCTTGGCCTATTTCCCTGTGTGCAGTGTATGATAACATCCCAGTCTTAATGAAGTAAGTGGGACCAGAAACTAAGTTCCAGCCTAATTTTTTTAAAAAAAACAAACATAGGACATCTCATACAATGGGATGAGAAAGCAATGGTGGTATATGAATTTGAGGCTTGAAATTCCAACAAATACAGATGTACTGAGAAAAGCCTATAAGAGGAATGGATATTTTATTTTTGTTTTTTATTCATTATGTAAAGATAAGAAGACACCTAGAAAGATGGTGAAGTAACATCACAAACTCTAGGCCTCAAAGTTAGAGAACCCAAAAAGTAGTGGAAAAACATTAGCAGCACACATCAATGCTGTTTATTTTAACAGCTTTCAAAACTAACAGCTGATGAAGGGTCAATATACTTCCCTCTCAAATCAAAACACTCAATTAAATATCCCCAATAATTCCAATATTTTTCACTGACAGCTACTTAAAAGAAAAAACAGCAAAAAACAGCAACAACAAAAATTCTTCAAAGACTATGTACAACTTCCTTCATTGCATAAAAAGAAAGAGTGGGCAGGAATCCTCAAGATGGTGTGTACAATTTTCAAAGCCTATCAAGAAAGTTTTTGTGTTGTTCTAATATATTCCCTTAATTAGAACCTACATATTATTTGACCACGCTTTTTTTTAAAAAAAACTTGCAATACAGATAAGTACCCCATAGAATAAGAGCCTGCTTGCAAAATAAATTAAGATAACTGGAAGTGAAATATATTGCTCTGTATATTTAAAAGTACATTAAAGATAAAGATACTTTTCACCTATGTAGATATTCCTACTGCCATATAGTTAACCTAAAAGAGCAAAAATTATGAACGGAGTGCAAAAATTAGATGCATCATCAGCAATTGCAATTGGATTGTGGACACTAAAAACAACTCTAATGAAAACATTCATGATGAAAAGATTACAAAACAGATGTAAACACACCACAGACTTTCCCAGGACCCTGTGCAGATTTTGTTTACAAAGGGCAAAGTATATTGTTGTTTGAATACATCTGACTCACGAAGAAGCCAGTAAAAAATGTAGACATGAATGTTTGAAGAGCATAGTTTTCTTATTTTCTGGGAACAAGTGAAGCCTAGTGCAGTTCTACTTATTCTGAAACAGAAAGTCAGTGATGAAGTTCCTACAGACTTCAGAACCAGAGTTGCACCAGAATAAAAATCCCAGAATTTCAGCTAAACAGAATGATGTTTTATTGAAGCTTAAAGAGGTGAAAAACTTGAATACCCATCGAAGAAGAGATGACACTGAAAAGAGCATGCAGTGATGCTGGATTAAGACTGGGGTCTGTTGTCCAAAATGACAACAAGTTTTGTTTTTTTTTTAAAAAAAATCAGCTGCCTACAACTGCTTTCAAAATCTGTGAATGCTCATCTGCTGTGGCAGCCCTTTTTTTGCTTTACATTTCAAAAACACTATTCTGCTGTGCAAGAAAAGTCACTGCTTTTTTTCTCTTCAGCATTAAACCGCACCATTTCAGAACTGACACACCATGGAAGTTCCAGATGGAGGACTCTGACAAGCCTCTATTCAACAGCCACTGAGCTTCCCAAATAAAAAGCAAACTGAGTTTCCCAGAAAAAGCAAACTACATAGGACATTTTCCACTTGGCTGAAGTGCTCTCTCCATTTGTGATGATACAGTTAACAGCATAATCTAAGAGTGACTACTTACATTTACAGCATTTGACTGTTACTGCATGCCTAGGACTGCTAACAAAAGGGGTCACTCCTTTTAATCCATGAGAAAGGTATCATTTCAGAAATACTTAAAGTCCTTTATCTTGTTTGTGCAAATGCCTGACAGCTATGACCTCAGACACAACGTATTCATCTTACTCTCTATGAACACACATTTATTAATTTCAGATTCAAGAAACACTAATTGTAATTTGTAAAGCAACTACTTCATTTATACCCAACAACTCATGATGTAATATAGTCATACCACGAAAATGCAAATGTATTTGGTTGTGGTTTTCCTCAGTGAAAACCCTGACCTCAACACTCTTCCACACGTGTGGGTGGTAGGTACAATAGATACTTCCCGCTAAGATGGAAAGGTGAAAGTACCTGGGTGAAATCCTGGTTCCCCTGAGATCAAGGGCAAGATTCCACATTACACTCCAAAGACATATTTGAGGTTAAATCCTGACCTCAGATGAGTAATCCTTTTACTAGAGCATGTACATATATACATATGCATGCATACACACAGAGTCCTGTACATGCGTAACGCAGAATCCTGGAAAAATAAAGAGTATTTTCACTCAAGACATAGAGCTCCAAAATAACCACAATTATTTGATAAAAAAATCTGTATTTTTCACCAAGGCTAACATTAAAGGAACACCATACCGCAGCTCTCCAGACCTGTCCTTCATTAGGAGCAGCAGAAAACTGCAATCAACATAGCAGAAAAACAAGACCTAGAGAGTATGGACCAGAAGCACAAAAAGGAAATTTTGCCTTCAAGGTGTACAATTTAGCACAATGGTAGCGTTTTACCATTACAGATACAAAATGCATAGCCAGATCTCTTGATTGCATTCTTCAATCTTTGGAAGGAAAAAACGCCAACATTCAGAGATGAGCAAATCACGCCTGGGCACGGAGAAAAGTCTCTCATTCCTCCACAAACATTCATACCTGCATATCAACCGTGAGCAAGATATGAAGTACTCTTTGCAGGAATACATAGGCTTAAGTGTTTGGCCAAGAAGTGTTTACTACAGAAACCAAAGGCTCACTCAGCACACCACTAGTAAAACTGCCATAAGAAAAAAGCACAACAGAAAACCCTACTGGCATTGCTTACTCTTACTGACAGATAAGGGATGTATACCTAGCAGAACTCAAGACATTGAGTTAATCTCGTACTAATCAATGTATTGCAAAACCATGAAGATTAGTAAGATACTAATTCTGATGCCACCTCCAACTGATTTCCTACTCATACACAAGCCTCTCTCTTTTGGTTCATAGCATTTTCTACTCAGTCAGGTTAGTCCACGTGGTACAAAGGCAAAAAGATGATTCCACCTGTGCTAGTAATCCATCGCTTTGTCATGAGTACAGAAGCTAAATCCTTCATGCACAAACAGTTCTCTGCTGCTTTGCAAAATTCCCAGAATGAGAATTATTCCTGTGATTAAGGCAATAGGGAGGAATCATGGGATCCGTCCTGAGGCAAGACGTACCACACTGCTTGATCTCCAGTCCTCTTCCATGCAGTGACAACCGTAACTTGAGGAGCAAGTTCCTCTAACACTTCAGAGGAACGTGGCATAAATGTTTAAAGCTCCAGAGCAAGGGCCCACTCGGGAACAATGTTTTCCAAACTGAGTAGCACAGGAACCCGTAGAGGTTAAAATGTTTTTACAGTTGTCTATAAGGACTCCCTTTGGGATTTCCCTCCATGATTGCATCATACATCTCTCATCTTAAGGGCTGCCTAATCAGGCTGGACTGAATAATGTTGTCCAGACATTCAACATCACCTAAATACTTGAGGTAGTTTGCTACTGCACTGTCATCATTTAGTCAAACAGTAAATTGAGTATTGCTCAGAATTTTTTCTGTGGTGGCTTTGGAATCTCTCTCTAACCTTCATTATACAAAATGCACAGTGAGAAAACTAAAAACAAAGACTGTGTGGTAGGGCTAGTTGTATTGTCTCACTGGAAGAATCTTCAGGAAAGTGCTCTGAACAAACCACAGTATAGAAACCTCTTATAAAAGGAAGGAAGTAGAAGTAGATGCAAAAGAAGCACCATGTGATGTCTCAAGGTATATGAGACACTTCTTGTGAGGGTACAAAAAAGGTACTCTGCAGTAGGACAACCATTTCAGAGACGGTAGGTGTGAAGGGGGTGAGAAAGCTAAGGCATGAGCCACAGAATCTGTTATCTGAGGCACCTAACTATAGAAGAGTAAAGTTTGGGAGTTAGTACCTTAGACAAAATTCAGCTCCCAAAACAGTAATATAGATTACATATTAGGGCCTCTACAGATTTGGAACTTGAGCTGAGTAAGTACCATTTATTCACATTGTACTCAGTGATAAATAAAAAATTTATGGGAACTTTCATGTACAAAACTGAATGAAACTGGGCCTTGATCAAATTCCACACCTAACAGAAAAAGACCTTCCACCAGTCCCCACATGCACTTGAACTACACATACCATTACCAAAATCAAATTTGTCTCAGAGCAGTAAAGACAATGAGTTCTTAAGTAAGGGAGCACTTAATCTTCCTCACATTTTGATCCTCTAGAAGGCTTCCATGGCAGTTTAAGTTTCAGGTGTCAGTGCCCTGAGACTGACTGAAAAAAAAGTTTCACCTAAAGGCATCAGCAAGTTATACCTGAAGCACACATCATGTGCATGACTACTTCTGCAGACTAAAATGACATTCCCAAGCCTGTTCAGAAGGACAACATATCCCCATTTACGCAAGCCATCACTCTGAATTTGCACTTGTTACTCTCCTCAGCAAAGGTTAAGGACTTTTTACTTAAAATGTCCAACACCTGCACTTGTAGTTAAGTGGAAGTGATGTACTAGTGTTCAAGTACATCAAGTCTTTCCATGTATATTCCAAAGCAATATGGTAACTGAGGCACCCAGGACTACAGAGCCTATTATAAAAACATAAGCCTTAAATATCTAAATGGGCAGGAGGGGAGGATGAAAGATGGAGGATGGGAGATGGGGTTTTGTCCTCTAAACCTAAGACCATCACAGAAAAGTTCGCTCTAAAAATAGTTTGCCCTACACTCATTTTTTGGTGGATAAATCTTCTGTTCATAGGCAGCTAGTGTGGCCTCTTTCAGGACTCTCTCTTGAACTTTAAAACAAACCCTTTTTTCTGAACAGCTTTCTGTTCCCTCCTCCTCCTCCTCCTCATTCCTTCCTCCCCCAGTACCACTGAACAAGAATTCAATTCAACAGAAGTGAATTTCAGGGGAAACAAAGCATAAGAAGATAGAAACTAACTCCCAGCTTTCATTTACACTTAAATATGTGCACGTGCAATTGGAAATTGCGTATCTGGTTCACATCCTACACCTGTAACACTTAAACATAATTTTACTAGACTGCAACCTCCCTTCGTAAGAACCAACAAATTCAGTCAGAAGCATCTGGACAAGCTCTGCAAACAAAGCCATCTCCATCATACCTTTTTTTTCTCTGCATTTTCTTTGTCCTCAGCATCCCGCTGCCAAACGCTTTTCATATCGAAATCGAAAGGGCCTCTTCTTGTCTCGTAATTATTACTATGATGGTCATCAGCATTGAACTCTTTGTGAACCATAAAATCTGGTAGAGTGGAAACATAGTTCCTGCAGACAGATGTTTAACACTTGTTTTTACCTGGGATACATATTTTTCGCTTCATAACAAAATAATTCTGAAGCACTGACAGATGAAGAGAGAACCCAGGAAGTTATTCAGGATCTCAGCAGACCTACCGTGGCTCATTGGCTGCTGGAGGATTGGAGCGGTGTGAGTACCAGTCAGGCACAGCGTATGCTACCGGAGATGACTTGCTTGTAACAGGAGCGTAGTGCTTCAACAAGTCTTAGGATGAAAAGACAAAAGCTGCTACTTTTCTGACTCTTATTCTGGTTATAAAAGCATCATCTTTTCAGGCTGCTGTTTTACCAAGAAGAGACACCCTTTAGTATTCACTAAGTAACATCTGTCTTCCTTGGTTAAACAGGCAATCAAAACCTTGCAGCACCATGTTTCATTTGTACCCTTATTTATCTTCTAAAAGTTTTGACACATTTCTGCTGGCGTCTGTTAATTCATATTCCTGTATTTGTCATCCTGCTCTAAGTGTGCACGCCTGCCATCTGTTCAAGTCTCTCAACTTCTCTTTCTCAATAATGGAAACAACAAAAACATGGAGTGTCCTGGTACAAGAACAGAATATACACAGAACCATAACAAACTGGATGTCATTAGAAAAAAAAAAACACCTCACAGACATCTACCAAGCTTTCTGATAACAATTCTTTGTGACAAGATTGTTTTTACCAGACTGTTACATAAAGAGCCCTAGCATAAACTGTAAAGACCTATCTCAAATGCAGGTAAACTGCCAGCATTTTCCAAGTAGTTCAGACATAATGCAAAACTACCTATTTTGACAACAGGTAGTTAATTCAATACACAGCAAGGGTATCATTACAAGCAGACCTCTTATGTCACAATTTCAAATATTTTTTTCCCCTAGTTTAATTTCAGAGGATTCTTCTGAAACATCTGAAAAATTTTTCTGCCACCAAACTCAAGGAAAACCAAAGAAAATAATGCCAGAACAAACAGCCAGAAAAGTCACACACCAGGTCGGCCTCCTTGCTTTGCCAGCCTTACATAAGCTGAATCAGTGTCTTTGATCCATTTCCTGCGGCACCCAAACGTCCCTTCATTGGGAGCTTTTGTAAGACCTGGAATCTGGGATGTTGGAGGAAGTGGGATATCTGAGTTCATTGGTTTCTCTGGTCGCTTCGTGGGCATCTGGTAATAGCATTCTGCAGTAATGGAAAAGAAAATATCATAAAATAAATAAAATAAACTGTTAGCATCCTTTTCAGGCAACTAACAAATCTAGTCAACCTGAAATTTGAGCAACATGCTGCATTTCAGCATGAAGGTAGAAGACAAGGATTCTTTATTCCAGGGCACATAGCAAAGACAAATTCTGGAAGATCATATTCAACAAAGAAGGCCTTTGTTTAAGTTTTGAAATAGCATTCAGGTTTACATAGAAAATGTTCTAGTACAGGGCATCACATATATTCAGGCAGCAGACCAGGTCAAGGACACCAAGAGCAGTCACAACAGGCAGCTAGTAGCAGTTAAACCTTTTGTTTCCTTTCCTCCACATCTACCACCAAATGCAAGGGCAGCATTCTAATTTGTCCTTTTCTAGGTCTTCATTTGTAAAATAATCCAACCTGATCCCCAAGTCATCCCCTCCTTAATAAAATAAGGTAAGTCAAGCCCTCACCAGAAATACTGGTTTCTCAACTTTCTGCATGCAAAAACAAACAAGCAGTCAAACAGAAATGTCAAAACACTCTACAAGGAAGGGAAATTTCCGTAAAGGGAAAACGAGGTGGCAAACAGAAGAAAAAGACAATCTAAGGAATTATGCTATGAAAGGCATACAGACTTACGGCGATGACTCCAAATGCAGCGAACGCAGTTACCTAGGTGTAAGTAAACTATCTTAACGCAGACATCCTCTCTGGGAGCTACTAGGCAAACACAAATATGCTGAAACTCACTTCTAAACAAAATGCCCTAAAGAACTCACTTTCATTGGTATCAAGGGCAAAGAGCCATTAGACTGTTTTATTTCACTACACTAATTGGTCCATCTGAAACCGCGCTACCTCATTATCCCAAATACTCTCATCCATTTTAGTTTGCTGGATTGCCAGACATTTGAATCTTTACTTTGATAGCTTAAAACGAAAGAGCATTTTTCAAAGAAATAAGCCCCTTACACTGCTTATTTACAAGAGAAAATGCCCGCAGCTGATTGAAAATCTCCTCTCTTCAAACAGACAACTCTATTGGGATTCACCCACGATGCATGGTGTTTGTGGTTGGTATTTTTTCCCACCTGACAATATCTAGAGGATCTCTGCAAACCAAAGGGATGTTCTAATTCAGAGTATTAGGAGGTGGGACCAGCAGCCAGGCTTAGAGCCTGGCAAGCACTAGAGGAAGGTAAGCTAGGCGGGATCTAGCCTGTGAAGACAGCCTGACCATGGGGCTCTCGCAGATGACCTGGAAAAAGGCAAATGCTCAGCTCCACGTATCCCCCCCGAGATCTTCCCACCAAAGCACCAAAAGCCTCGCCTGACGCTTAGGGACAAGCTCCTTGCTTCAGACCTGCATCACTATAAAACAAACCGCACCGCCTGCTGCCTAGACGTAGGGCACTCAAACCTCAGCCACGTCTGCTTCCAGCTACCAAGGCGGCAGGCTGCAGGCACCAGAAGGGCACGGGGCTGGAAACGCGCCCAGGGCCCCTCGCCGTGCCACCACCACTCCTTCCACAGCCAGAGGCAGGAGGCGGGCACACAGCCCGGTACTTGGCAGCGACGGCACCGGGCTGTGCCCAGCCCTGGCCCCGCGGCCCCCCCCCGGCCGCAGCGCCACGCCCGTCCCTGTGGCAACGGGGCGGCTCCAACGGCCGCCGCCGCCATCTCGTGGCCGCCATCGCCGCCGCGGTAGCGGAGCAAAAAAAAAAAAAAGTTACCCAGGGCTTGTGTGAGACTTCAGGACGCAGTGTGGCCAACAGGACTGAGGGAAAAAATAGGATGAAAAAGCTTGCGCATCGAGATGAAGACACGGAGATCTCCCAACAGTTACTATCACAGAAAAGAAAAGAAAAAAAAAAAAAAAAAAAAAGAGATTGAACTGGGGGAACATTAATGTAATTTATTCCCAGGTAAACCAGACAGCTCTCCCTCAGGATCACCATGGAGCCTGATTTGATACACACAGGTGTATTATGGGTGGCCCCAGTTGCTCAGCACTTGCAGATGTATAGAATCATAAAATCAATAAGGTTGGAGAAGACCTTCAAGATCATCTGATACAACCATCCCCCTGCTACCAATGTCACCCACTAAACCATGTCCCCAAGCACCATGTCCAACCTTTCCTTAGACACCTCCAGGGACGATGACACCACCACTTTCCTGGGCAACCCATTCCAATGCCTGACCACTCTTTCTGAGAGCCTGCCATGGGGGCACCTTGCTCAGAGCCTTGCCAGACAGCTTGGAGGAGGTCGGGTGATCTTTGGAGGTGCTCTGAGGGACAGCTCTCCTTCCCATTGCTTGGGACAGGCTGCTGGCTGACACGCCTTCCCAAGTTCTCCAGCTTTCGTGCAGTCGCAGACTGAGAGCTCTGCCTGCTAGAAGGATCGACAGTGGGAAGCACCACGATTTCAGAATATGTGCAGTTGAATATTTGCTCAAACCAGGAAGCTGCAAAGGATTTCAAAACGTTGCAGACACTTCCAACGGCTTCTTTGGTGGCTTTGTCAAGGGAAGCCTGCGAGGATGCTCCCTCAAGGGCTTCCCTTGGTTTCTTTTCTTCCAGCTTCCCCACTAGGGACGCTCTCCTGGCCCAGGGCTGCTCCTTCTGCCTGGCTTCTGGCCTTGTCTCAGATGCACTGGGCGTGCTGGATTCCCAGGATTTCTCAAAGACCTTCATCACGCTCACCACAACCTTCTTAGCCAGCAGTGCAATTTGGCAAGAGGAGATGTCTCTGAAGGCTTTCGGCACTTGCACACAGTCTTCCTCAGATCCCATGTCGAGCCCTCTTGAAGATGCAGACAGACTGGTCCAGTGCCTGCACCCTCTCAAACATTTGCTGCACCACAGCCCGAGCCATCTCTTCAATCTTCTGGCTTTCTCTAGCGGCCTGATCTTCCGAGGCAGCTTTGAATACACTGTCTGCTGGGACAGGTGACTTTCTCTTGGACTCAGTCACAGGATGGATGCTGCCCGGGAGCTTGGCATCTTCCCTGCCCAACTCATAGCTGGAGGGAGTCACTTTCGGCCTTCTGCACTGGCCAGACTGGAGAGAGTTTCTTCTGCTTTTGTGGGAAGCTGGGCCAGCTGGTTTTTGAGGCTGCAGTAGGCTGACTTTCTCTCTCATGACCAAGTACGCATTACTGGAGGAGCTCTGGCGAGAACGGTCACTCCCCGCCGTCAATCTAGTGTCAAGTTTCTTTAACTTGGCCAGCTTTTCCTGAAGCTTTTCCTGAAAGGGAACAGCTGGTTTTAGCTTCCAAAGTTCTTCTCCAGCTTCCATGCAGTCACAGACTGAGAGCTCTGCTCCGCTACGGAGCTCGTCATCCCGCTTGCCACGGTTTTGCTGTTTGAAGTGGCCTTTGCTTTCATTTCCCTCTCCAACTTGTCCTTCACTTCTTCAACCACATGAAGGACAATGGTTCTCGCATAGGCCTGCAGTTCTGTGTGCAGCCACTGAACTTTGGAGACAGGCTTTTGGATGCTCTCCCTCACAATCCTGCAACTCAGTCGTGAGACCTGGGCAACTTTTCTCTCTGACTTGCTTCTGGGCTCTGCTCTTCGTAGTCCCCACCCTTCCCTCATGCCCTCCCTTGAGAGAGGCACCTGGGATGGCTGTGGCTGCCTCTCAGAGGGATCAACAGTGGGAAGCACCACGATTTCAGAATATGTGCAGCTGAAGCCTTGCTCAAACTGGGAAGCTACAAAGGATTCCAAAGCGTCGCAGACACTTCCAATGGTTTCTTTGGTGGCTTTGTCAAGGGAAGCCTGCGAGGATGCTCCCTCAAGGGCTTCCCTTGGTTTCTTTTCTTCCAGCTTCCCCACTAGGGACACTCTCCTGGCCCAGGGCTGCTCCTTCTGCCTGACTTCTGGCCTTGGCTCAGATGCACTGGGCGTGCTGGATTCCCAGGATTTCTCAAAGACCTTCATCACGCTCACCACAACCTTCTTAGCCAGCAGTGCAATTTGGCAAGAGGAGACGTCTCTGAAGGCTCTGCACTTTCAGCACTTGCACACAGTCTTTCTCAGATCCCATGTCAAGCCCTCTTGAAGACACAGACAGACTGGTCCAGTGCCTGCACCCTCTCAAACACTTGCCGCACCACAGCCCGAGCCATCTCTTCAATCTTCTGGCTTTCTCTAGCAGCCTGTTCTTCTGAAGCAGCTTTGAATACACTGTCTGCTGGGACGGGTGACTTTCTCTTGGACTCAGTCACAGGATGGATGCTGCCTGGGAGCTTGGCATCTTTCCTGCCCAACTCAAGGCTGGAGTCACTTTTGGCCTTCTGTACTGGCCAGAGTGGAGAGAGTTTCTTCTGCTTTTGTGGGAAGCTGGGCCAGCTGGTTTTTGAGGCTGCAGTAGGCTGACTTTCTCTCTCGTGACCTCCATTACTGGAGGAGCTCTGACGAGAACGGTCACTCCCCGCCATCAGTCTTTTGTCAAGTTTCTTTAACTTGGCCAGCTCTTGCTGAAGCTTTTCCTGAAAGGGAACAGCAGGTTTTAGCTTACTCTTGCCTCAAAAATGCCTCGCGTCCCTGCATGCTGAGGTTTCATGCAGCCCATGCCAGTGTGACAAGGCCATGCAAAGAGGGCTGGAGAGAAGGGCTGCCCTCAGGGCTCTGTGTGCTTGCAAGTGGCTTTCCTGATCCACCCCCCCACAAAAACACACACACAGACACACCTCACCCCACCTCCAGCAGTCTGCACTAGCTGAGCTTGGGGCTGGGTGTCCTTTCGCTACCACAACACCTGGCCCTCCAGCACAGCCCTCACATCTTCTGCATTCCCCGCCTCCCTCAGATCCAACAAGGAAAGCCCCAGCCTTCTGCACTGTGCCACTGACATCTGTCTGCTGAGCTTTGCCTACCTCTTCTTGCCTCCTGGTTTTCTCCACCTCCACCTTGAGTGTGGTCGGATCCTGCCTGTACTCATTGAACTCCTTCAGAGTGCAGAGCACCGATGGAGAGACAAGGGCAGAAAGCTCCCAAGAACTGTTCAGGTAGCTGCACAGTGGCAGGGGAGTGGCTCCTCTCCATCCTTTCCCCTCCCCAGTAGTGGGGACACTGAGTCCCTCCAAGCCAGGGCCGAGTGGACTCCTCGCTCTGCACCAGGCCCCACACCAGCTGCCTCCTCAATGTACAGGCAGCGCGAGGCAGCCTGAGAAGAGCAGGAGTGGGCACTGCCGGCAGGGCGCTGGGGTGATGTCTGCTCCCATGGAAGGCAGTGCAGCAGCCCTGTGCCCCCCACCAGCAACAAGAGGCTGCAGCAAGCGCGCTGGGAGTCATAGAATCATCAGGGTTGGAAAAGACCTTCAAGATCATCTGGTCCGACCATCACCCTACTACCAATGTCACCCCCTACACCATATCACTAAGCACCAGGTCCGAGCTTTCCTTAAACACCCCCACGGACGGTGACTCCACCATTACCCTGGGCAACCCCTTCCAATGCCTGACTGCTCTTTCTGAGAAGAAATGTCTCCTAGTTTTCAACCTAAACCTCCCCGGTGCAACTTGAGCCCATTCCCTCTAGTCCTATCCCTAGTCATCTGCAAGAAGAGGCTGACCCCAGCTCCCCACAATTTCCTTTCTGGGAGTTGTAGAGAGCAAAAAGGTCTCCCCTGAGCCTCCTCCTGACTAAACAATCCCAGTTCCCTCAGCTGCTCCTCAGAGGACTTTTGTTCCAGGCCCTTCACCAGCTTCATAGCCCTTCTCTGGACAACTTCCAGGGCATCGATCTCCTTCTTGTACTGAGGGGCCCAAAACTGAACACAACACTCGAGGTGCAGCCTCTCCAGAGCAGAGTGCAGGGAGGGGACGATCACCTGCCTGGTCCTGCTGACTACACTCTTCCCGATACAAGCCAGGATGCTGCTGGCCTTCTTGGCCACCTGGGCACACTGCTGGCTCACGTTTGGGCAAGCATCAATCAGCACCCCCAGATGATTTTCCTCTGCACACCTTTTCAGCCACTCTGCCCCAAGCCTGTAGCGCTTCCATGTTAAACCTCATCCCATTGGCCTCTGCCAGAGGAGACCTGTGCTGGTCAGCGCAATGTCCAAACCTACTTTGCCATCGCTGGTGATGTAGCCCTTGCTCTTCAGGCGCTGCAGGTTGTCTTTGGGATTGTAGTAGGCCTGCAGATGCAGGTCGTGCAGGCAGTTGTACTCTGTGCACAGTAGGTGACAATATGGATCTCCCAGATGAGACTGAGCGGAAGGCTGGTGAAGCTGGAAGAGGGGTGTTCCAGAGTATGAATGGGGCAAGAGAAAGCAGCAGAGAGACAAAGGCACTTCCAAGCTCCTCATGCACACAGTCTAGCCTTTTCCAACCTCTGCGCTATAGGTTTCTGATTCCTGGCCTACTTCCCGGCTGGAGCTTCCTTCTGAAGCCATCAAAAACACCCCTACCAGGCTGAGGGTCCAGCCTGGGCTGGGGAGAGAAGGCCAAACCCCACCAGCAAAGTAGGCATCTTGGGCCACCGGCTAGAAATGCAAGAGCTTTCCATGCCAGAAATGAACCTTCAGATGGAAAACTTCAAGCCCGCTGGTTCACACGTCAACAGCAGAAAATCCACAGAAAATGGCCTCCTCAGGGTTAGGCAGGCCTAAGGGG